GAAATCCGTTTTCAGGATGGTTCACCTAACTATTGTCCCAGCAGCAGACTCCCAGATGCAGCCAGCCCACACACCTGGAGATGCACCCTATCATTGTGCACCAGGGTGAGAGGCCGGGGATGTCTTGGTCCCCCAGTGGTGAGCTCTCTTCCTTTGGTTTTCCTCTGGCAGAGCATCCATTTTTCTTCTGTTGCCAATAAAAATCCCCAGCACTGTTCTTTCTCCTTCGCTTCCTTCTATTGCTTCTGACAGAGTTTGCCAGTTAGCTGAGGTCAGGATTTCCTTTTTACAAACAACCTGCTTTCAGTCAGAGAGGCCAGAGGTTTCCTAAATTACAAACCCTTTCATTTCTTCTGCCACAAGTCATCCTGTCAGTTTGTATAATCGTATGGAATGGAGGGGAATGGAAACGCTCAAAGACACTGAAAGAAAGATGTGCTATAATTTATGAATGTGCTCCTTTAGGAGTGTCAGAAAACTATCCTGAATGGATGGACTGGACTATTCAACTGAAGCTTCCATAGCCATGCCTCACATGGGTGAAGTTCCACTGCTTGCAGGGAAACTCCTTGTGTCTTAAGAGGACCAGCAGTGTTCCTCATCTCTGGGTTCTGTTAACAAATAGCCTCCTTTATACTCATTTGAATTGGGAAACATCCATGTCATATGCAAATGTTTTGAAAAACAAATGTGAAAACCTTATTGGGAAATGTGTGTGTGTTTACTTTGACATTTGTAAATGTTGATTGGAAGAACAATTTTAAACAAAAAACATGACATGAGATTCAGACTCTAAGATTAAAAACAAAAGGCATTCAGAAAGTACTGAAAGACATGCTAACCCAGGACAGGAAGCCATATAGTCCCTGAACCTGGACTGAAGCCTAAGCTCAGCCTGATGGTTACTGACAGATTGAGGAGGCAAAGCCAACTTTGACTGGCCTTACAACTCACGGTCTTTTCATGATCCAAAGAAATGGGTTGAGGTCATGACTTTGCCTTATTTGGCTGTGACCCCTCCACGGGGCGGGAGGGGACTGTGACCCCTAAGGCCAAAGTATTTAACCCAGCTCTTATAATCTATGCAGTGAAAGGAGTCAAACTAGACAGTTCTTGATCCTAACATTGTGAGTTCCACTTTTGGGTAGAAGTGCCACCCATAGAGAAGGCTATGGGAGCCCTTGTACCAGCCCAAGTGCCATTCCTGTTCCTTTATCTTCTTTCCATGAAGGCACACTGGCCTTGCTCCTATAAATACTGTGGTGCCTAAATTTCACCCTGGTCCCCTCTGTCTCCTGACTGCTCAATCTTTCTCTGAGCTCCAGGCCCACAGTTCTGGGGCTCTGTTACTCTTTCTTGGATAGTTGTACCCTCTTTCCAAGCTAGCCTTCTGTCAGCCTCACCTCTGTTCCAAGCTCTGCTCAGGCCAACTTGTCTCCAGGTTTTGAGTCTGCAGAAGCTCACACTACGTGCTTCCATCAGCAGTGCTCACAGGGCCCTTTCTAGAACTGCAGTGAGTTTGCTGGAAGCCACTGGTCCATGGCTTGAGGACAAGGACCTCTCTTTCAGCTTGTTTTCTGGAGCCAGCCACAGCAATGCACTGCATGTCTATACAGTCTGTGTACTAGAGAAATTGGTTCTTCATGTGGGTAAAAAAATGTCTGTAAAAACTCAGCCAGTGTAATAGTAGGCAACATTAGAGAATCTGCCAGGCAGTGTTCCAATACTTATTATATACTGGCTTAGTTTATCCCTGTAATAAGCCTCTAAAATAGCTAATTGTTATTCCTTTTCTAGGAGCTTAAGGCACGAGAAGTTAAGTGACTTGCCCTGCTAAGCTGGTACAGCTGGGATTGCAGGCAGTCTACCCACAGAAGGCTCCAAACTACTGAGCTGTCCTATCTCACAAGGATGTCGATACCCCTTGCTTCCCATGTAGCTGCATTCCTCTGCCCCCACAGTTCCCTAAATCTAACCTATTGGTTGGTCTGACCATTGCTATCACAGGAAACCAAGCCAGATTTCCATTTCCATCATCCTAACCCAGTGAGCATTGCTCATGTGGTCTGCTCCATGGCCTAGTATCCATTTCCCTCCATCTTCTTTTGCTCTGCTACAGCCCACTGTCTTCCCAGCAGCCAAAGTGATCATTTCAAGAGTAAGTCAGGTCAGGTCTCATCCCTGTGTCTACTCCTTAATGATTCCTCTTTCACTCAGAATAGTATTCATAAATCTCTTTCAGGGATCTGAAGGTATTATTCTCTCTCCCTTTTCAGTCACTTACTCCTCTTCAACCCAGGCCTAAACTATAATAAAGGGAAGTTTTCTATTGAGGGAATTTTGTCTGTGTGTTTGGCCTCCAATCTTTCTTGCTGCTCATCTCTTGGTAGTCAGATCTCAAGTTGAAATCATCCACAGAGGCTTATGCATAGCAGTTACCCACATTGTCCATTTAATTCTCCATAAGGAACTGTTCTAACTTGAGCGTATCTTATTCCACCCACCCACTGATTCATTTACCATCTGTTGCCAGCAACTTCACTATGTAGTCTGTCCTTGGGCCAATGTCATCCTGTCCTTGGTACCTAGGTAGGACAGTGCCTTATGATGGTGAACCTATGGAACTGAATATGAACTGCCTATAAAGGCAGAGGTGAGTAGAGGAAAAACATTCAAGAAAAAGAGCCAGTATTACATGTCATGAAGGGCAAGAAGGCTTCACAGAGGATGACCGGCAGGAGCTGGTGTGGGTGGACTGAGGCTGGAATGCTGGCACTTGGAATGTTCTGAGTAGAGCTGAAGTGTGATGCTGGGTCCATGTACTGAAGTTTAGCACAGTAATGAGAGAATACCAGAAGGATGCTCAGGCTGCGTTTGGAGACTCTGGAATGCCAGCGGGGAAATCTGAGCTCATGGTCAGAGGGGAGCCCTTAAAATGTTTCAGCCAGAGGGCTGCCGTGTTAGATGTGATGCTTTAGACAATTCATCTTCTGAGAGTATGCCCTCCACTTGGCCTATTTTTCATACTTTCTCCACCTGAGACCTGATAATCTGATCACTCCCCACTTCCACTTCATCAAAGATTTTTCCCTCAACTCTCTTTCAGGGTAGACACCTCGTTATTCAAGATGCTTGGTCTAGTGTTGTACAAGTGAAAAATCCCCATCGTGGGGCTGACAAACGGGTCAGACAACTGAAGGTTTGGTTGCCATGTGTTCCTGTGTATGAATGTTGTGTTTCTTGAACTGAATTCTCAGGGGAAAGCAAGTTGTACAGTTTTATAGCTCTCTGTCAGTGATTAATCTGGCAAATCACAGAGATATATGTTGTGAGTGTTCTTTTTTGATGAAACTGCCTCATATTGCTGCCCCTTGGGTATTTAAGTAGCTAGATCTATGCTCTACAATCCAAGATGATTTATGCTTAATTCTGTTCTATCATAGATAAATTTGAGGGAGGATCCAGTTTATGTAGTCTGGGGAACTAAAGAGCTTTTCCATTCGCCAGTTCTTACAGTGATCAAAGAAACAGCTGTTGCCTTCTAGTTTGGCTCCTGACAGACTGATAAAGCCATCACCGAGCTGTCCATGTGACTTCCTTTTGTTGGTGTGTTCTAATGCAAACAAGATCCTGCTGCTTCATATAACCCCAACCAGAAAGATGATACCGATTCTCGGGAGCATGTAGTATTTCACAAATCACGTTTATTAATTTAAACACAAAATTAATAAAGAGAAAATCTGTACACAATCGTGGACACAACACACCTTTTTACAGTAAGGCCAAGATCGAGGCTGTCTTTAAGTCTGCAGAGTACAAAACATAAAATGAAGAGGCTTTGAAACTGTTGGCTTCTATTTATGCCAAGCAAGACTGGAAACTAATTCGATTGCTAAACAATTTGGAGAATTCACAATGACTAATTTTAGCAGCAACATGAAATTCCAAAAGAAGGTGGAGTAGTTCTGCTACCCTGGGTCAACCTGGTGATAACCACCGCCCCCCATGTAATATTAAACAAAATGAATCCAAAGAGTAATTTCATGGCAATGCAAAGCTCTTGGTGAGAAGGGTAAGTTACTTTGGGAGAAACTCTCTTATGAAGTGACAAAAAGGAGCATTCTTATCCCCTGGGTTAATGCGTGTCACCTGGTACATATCATAAATGGACAGTAATATTTTGTATTTTTGTTGGTTTGTTTGGTTTTGTTGTGATGATATAACTATACCCACTGTTGACAGTGAACTTGCTCTGAGTGGGCAGGGAGGGAGGAAGAATGCAGAGAGTGATGTGAAGCTTCGCTGATTTCCAGCTACATGGTAATGTCCTTCTTGATCTAAACAAGACAGTCAGACACAGTAATAATTCTGAGCACATGAGAACTCTGCTAGACTCCAATTAATTTTATTAATAAAATATATCTATCATCTATATTCTTTCTGTGGGATGAAGCATTCGAATAATCATTTTTCCAAGTAGTTACATATAATACATTAGTGTTGAAATGAGAAAGTGAGGTGGCTAAGAAGACTCTTTTGAACTATGAAACTCTGTGTTATCTTATCAAGGCCCTCCTAACCAGCATAAAAAAAAATATTCGAAGAACTGATGGGGAAAGAGATCTAGAAAACAAAATCCTTATTGACACTTGACATTCATGCTTTTGGTCTTGATAACATTATCAAAAAAATTCATTATCTACAATATTTATACCCAATACTCAGATAAGGCACTGCACGAATCTGTGTACGTGGCCTCAAGCTTCGCCATCAAGGCGTAACTACCTCTCTATCATTTCCCTAAACAATATGTAAAAGAATCATTCATTATTACAAATTTACACCAAAAATTCTTTCTGTACATGATTGTCTCAGTGATGTGCATTTTACACGTTTAAATTAGACATATTTTAAACTACTTTGCAATATGCTAAACTTCAAAGTACTTGCCACATTGTGAGACCAAGGCCTTTAATTGATTATTTCTTATGCTACTGTCTCTTCAACTATTTGATGCCAAGAAGTCTGTCTTGGTGAATTGTGTGATATGTGAATTATACCTCAGCAAATCTGTTTTTAAAAGTCTGTTCATAAATAAGTAAAGATGTACAGATTACCCTGGGTAGGAGACACCAAAAAGTAAACCTTCTTTATGAGAAAATTCCTCCACTGGTATCCAGGAAATACATGCCAGTCACTGCTGTGCAATCAAGTTTGCTGAGAGGAGCTGTGTATTTCACACTGAAAACCAAAGTGTCCGTAGGTCCTTTCTTCACAGGTTTGAACCGTGTAGTTAATGTGGCAAAGACACATTACACTGTGCTAGAACATTCTCATGGCTTATTTTCATTGGATTCACAGTACTAGAGTCAACAGCTGTTCTAAAGAAAAGCACGAACGAGGTCCTCCATTCACCACAAGGATAGCGGTCAAGACCACAGCAGCCACACATCTGTACGTTGAAATTGCTAGGTTCTGAGTCCAGCGCTGATGTGAGACTGAAGCTGGCTGGATTTGTCTCTGGCCACAAGGCAGTTGTGCAGTGTCAAAGTGCCATGAGGCTGTTACAGGTACTCCAGTTCCAAGGCATGATGCAGGGCCATGAGGTCTGAGTGACTGGAGACCCTCCAGAAGGGCAGAGCATGCTGCAAAAAGGGAAGATATATAGTGACGACAGAGAAAAGACCAGCATAAGCCCTTCCAGCTCCTTCTGAGAGCCACTGCCATGCTCAGTCCCATTTCAGTATCCTGAAAACTGCCAGCCATCACCTTTACATCACATCTGCTTAAAACACAGATTTAAACCCAATCCTCCCAAAGGGCAATGGACTGAGTTTTTAAAGGACAATGCAGAGTCCTTTTTCTCAAGAAGGTGATGGACATCTTTTCACTAGATCATCACTCTGACTCGAATGACAGTTTCCAACTTTGAATTAAACAGTTGCCTTTCCACATATGTATCCAATGGCTTGCTAATGCTGAGAGTTTAAAAAGCTTACACTTTATGAGTCTAGAGGTTTCCCTTAGTTGGTAGTATATTACATTTTTTCCTAACACAATCTTGCTCATATATGAAGCAACTGTTCTTTTGCATAATACCATCAATTAAGTCTTTACATTGACCCTAACATGACTTTTCCATGTAGGAAAAACTTCAAATGAACATCTAAGGTTGGTATTTGTGTTTGTGATTATTTAAAACATCAAAGTACCAAATAAGTTAAGATGAGACTGTCTGTGAAACATCTGAATAAACCAGAGTCAGGAGAAAACAGGTTACCTCAATCTACGAAGAGGTGAAATAAGACATTGACTGCTCAAAAGGACTATAGTAAGTATTTATGCAACAGCAAAGCCTTCCTCTTAAATAAGAGAAAGATAACTTTTCAGAGGACAGATTTCTATTTTCTTCATAGAATAACAGATTTTATACATCCACAATAATTTGGTGGCAGAAATATCATTGCAATTATAGTTCTGAAGAATTTGGGGACATTTCACAGGAAGAGAAAATCTGTAGATAAAGGATGAAGCTACTATATGCAAATCATTAAATAAACTTGTTAGGAATATGTTTGTCTCATTATCGGGGAGCTGGAGAGATGATTCAGTGGTTAAGAGCACTAACTGCTCTTGAGGACCTGGGCTCAATTCCCAGGACTCACATGGCAGCTAATAACCTTCTGTAACTTCAGTTCTAGGGGATCTGACACCTTCTAATCTCTGTGGAAATTGCAGGGCATGGGTGCACTTACACACATGCAGGCAATAAGTACACTCACATACAAATTATAATAAAAAAAATTAAAAGAATATGTTTGTCTTATTATCTGCTAAAAACCATTTACTAATTTCTTGTTCTAATATCAAATACTGACCTTTCTGGACTCAATATTATGAAGAGTATCTACATATCTTTGTTATCTGTCACTAACAGAATAGTGTAGAAATGAGTGCCTAAAAGCTCTGTAAACTTATAGAAGGGTGGGTCAGGTGGCACCTTTAGATTATAAAGTGTACCACTGTTCTTTACTTATTCGTCAAAGATTTTTCTTCGTGTTTCCAGGCCATGGTCTAAGAAAAGAAGAGCCAGAGATAAATGGTCCTGGCTTGCCCTTTCAGTCTTTGAAATACAGAAATGCATCTGTGTTCTGAGATGAGTAGCCAGGGGACAATGATCTTTTCCCAGGGAGCTAGGGGAGTACCTGCAAAAAGAAGAGACAGTTGAGCTGAGTATGAAAGGATGACCATCCAAAAAGGCGCTCGGGCAGCTGTGCGGGTTGAGGCACAGAAGATAAAGGAGAAACTCATCGATACCACACGGAGGATGTGTGAGAGAAAGATATGGCTGATGATTTAACTGGATGCAAGAGTCAGATGATACAGGGCCTAGTAAACTCTAAAACATAATTGCCAATAATGAGAGTTGTGATACTTGGCTATTCTATCAGACTGTGCAAAGTGCTTAAGAGGTAGGTATCTTTACTAATGAAAAAAACTGAGACTCAGAGAAGGGAGAGAGAGGTTTAAATAATAGCTGGCCCACTGGAGCTAGGATTCACACCAGGTCTGGACTTACTCTGAAGCCACCCAGATGCTACAGTGCTTCCTACCTGTTCTTTCTAGCTTTGTACTTAGGAGCATCAACGATCAGTGCCATAGCACAGTTAAGGTGTACTTCCTATCCCTCCTCTCTGCTAGGTAACAGATGCTGAAAAATGTGAGTGATTAGGATTCACGGGTCTAGACTGGCAGCATGATCACCTGCCACACAAAAAACATTTTTCCTTTTTCTTATTAGACCAAATTCATGCATGTTGTAAAACACTTGTAAAATATAGAACTATGTAAAGAAATATAAATCACTTCCTACCACTAAAATGACCACCATAAATATTTTTGATATATCTTCATATATGTACTGAAATTATGCACATACATAGTAGGTACAATTGAGAATGCTTATTTTATTATTGGATCTTAACTCATTACAGACACATTGTTTCCTATATGCTCTATATATTCATTATTTTAAATATGTACTGTTTCTTATTTAACGGTTGACTTGGCATCTATAATTATATCCTTTGTATTTCTAGCTAACTTGTGTTTTCATATTTTTAAGATTTATTTTAAATTTCATGTATGTGTGTCTCTGTGTATGTGTATAAGAGTCCAGGAGCCCCTCGAGGCCAGAAGAGGGAGTTGAATCCCCTGGAGCACTTATTGCAGATAACTGTGAACCATCTGATGTGGGTGCTAAGAACTGAACTTAGGTCTTCTGCAAGAGCAACAAGCGCTCTTCACCACTGAGCCATCTCACCAGCCCCTTCCTTAGTGTATCTGTCAATGATCCATTCTCCAATGTTGTTTTTCATCGCCATCTTACTGTGTATCGTGATTTCATGATATAACAATGCATGCTGAAGGCTCCTTAGATGGATAGCCAGAAAAATTTAGAACACCTACCTTCACAAATCTATCCATCCATCCATCCGTCCATCCGTCTGTCTATACTTGTGGAAACTAGAATGCTTTTTTTCCGAATAGGTTCAAATTCATTTGAATGCTGACTATCTTAAGGTAAATGTGTTTCCCACATGTAAGTTCTCTTTATATAAAGCTACTATCAATACAAATTTGAAAGCTATTGGCACACTCTAAAACATGGAGTGAAGAATAAAATGAGTAGCAGAGACATTGAAAGGGGCTTAAAGGTGTACAATAGACACTTAGCTTCACAGGAAGCTGAAGACAGGTGTTGCTGTGTCTCATGTGCACAGGTATAGGAATGGAAGCCAGCCTAGAGCACATTTAAACTGCTTAACTTTTAATCCATACAACAATACCTATAAAGATGAGATACACAGGAGTCCTGAGTTGGATCGTTTACTGGTACTAAAATACTAAGACTAAAATGCCTTCCTCTTTAGAGCATCAATAAACTCATGCCAAGCAGCATCCTGAAATGAGTTGAAAGGATGCACTACATTTGTGGTATCCAGCAGCTGACTGCAGTGCAATGGCATTGAAGCTATTCCTTAGAAGACACATGCCAAAGACTTTATATGAGAGCTGGTGAATTCTGGAGACAGTTGCACTGAGAACATTACCTCCAGCCTCAGCACCATCTCCTAATATGACTAGTGATGTCTGTTACAATGAGTTTCATCCTCTCAAAACATGGTGGGATCTCTGGGCAGCATCCACTAACTATCAAGCAGATGATTAAATAAAAATTAAGCTAACAGAGAAGGCCGGAGACTCAAATGCTTGATTTTATTTTAGATTTTCATTTATTTTTTAAAAATATTGTATTTGTTTCTTTTATGTGTATGAGTATATGGCCTGCATGTATATAAGTACACTTGGGTCACATGATGCTGGCCCAGGTCAGAAGAAGGTATCATGGTCCCCTGGAACTGGAGTTACAGATGGTTATTAGCTCCATGTGGGTGCTGAGAATTGAACCTGGATTCTCTGCAAGAGCATCCAGTGCCTTTAAACACTGAGCCATCTCTCCAGCTCCCTTATTTATATTTTTTATGTGTATGTTTTGCCTGAATGTATGTAAGCGTAGTATGTTTATGCAAAACTGTGGAAGCCAGAAGAAGGTGTCAGATTCCTTGGAACTCAAGTTACAGATGGTAATTAACCACCACCTGAGTGTTGGGAACCCAGGTCCTCTGCAAAAGCAGTCAGTGCTCTTAACCACTGGACCATTTCTTCAGCCACTCAAACTCTTGTTAATAGATAATGAGAACTAATATAATACAAAGATTTTACCCATTAACAAGAGCCTCCTGGGACAACTGGATATAAAGTGAGCAGTTTTTATGTGTGTTCATTACTGTTGGCAACTAGAATAAAGATTTCTTATACACACCCAGAGAGAAATGCTGTCAAAAGAGGAACAAAACCCACATGCTAAAATGAAGAGTCCTGGTCTAGCCTCTCATTCTAACATCAGCCATGTGACCTTCCATTATATCACCTTCTTCCTGGAGCCCCAGTTTATCTATAAAGTGATTAGTCAATGGAAACCATTCAACTTTGCTTCTAGGTTGTGGTTAAATAAACTCTATACCTGTGGAGACCTATAGCTGCAGAAAGAATGTAATACATACCACAAGACCACGCCCCATGGCTCAGAACCACTGGATAGACAAGGTTTAACTGTAGAACCAGCTCAGCATAATGTGAAGCAGTGTGAGAGTAAGAATCACTGCATAGGGAAGAAGGCTTGTGTAGAAGCTGGATAAAGTAAGCTGGGCTTATGTGGAATTGGAAGAACAAACAAAGTTAGGAAAGCAGGCAGGAACGGACTCAGAGTTAGATGTGAAGAGGTCACAAAACGGACAGGGGGGAATGCAAGAAGCATTTTCTGTAATTAGGCTGGAATGGTCTGTTCATTAAACAGGTTAACAGGGAAGGAGACTTTCCAGAGAAGGAGGTATTTCAAGGAAAAGCCCTGAGAATATAACTGGGGAGTTTAGATTTTTTTTTTTTTTATGAGAGAGAACATTACAATATTTTATTCAAGTCAATGTACTTCAATCAATACTTTTGGAGAGGCCCATTCTCCTTAAAAAAAAAATCAAGGATGGTTTTGCATGTTTAATTTTGGGGTCAAAAATCTTGGTCA